CTTTATCCCAGTCTCCGCCCTCTTGATTGGTGCTAATTTACGTCGGTTCTCGGACCTTGGTCGTCCATCTAATTGTTTTTAATCCAATTGAGAATTTTGCCCTCAATATCTATGTCCTAGAGGGATTTACAAGAAAAGATTAAGGACACCAGATAGATAGGTGAGCTAAAGAACAAGCCAGGGCAGTCCGAGGGCTCAGAGGTGTCTGCAGTGTGCAAACATCATTGGCAGGATCGTGTCTTCCTCATGCCGAAGAAGACTAATTTTCCTGAAATCAGTGGTTTGGCACTCTGAGAAAAATCAGTGTGAAAATGGAAATCAGGGCCATAAGCCAGAGGTAGGAATTGTTCAGGTTACGAGGGGTTTTATGGGGGATTAAAGGATGAAACTATCAAACGGAAAATGTAAGTGGAGTGTCATGGAGAGCTGTGAGACTGCAGAGGGGTATCCCTCCAGGGGGCTGTAAGCCCTGTCGTTTGAGTCATTTGAAATCAGGTGAGGCAGAACCTCTAAGCATCTACCATAAATAATGGCCCTTCATTTTTGTCAGGGACTAGGACATGATGGGACTCTCCCATCGCTTGTTTCCGAGATGCTATTAGGCTAATGTGACCTGATCCAGTGAACTGCGGCAACAGCCTTCCAGGATGTCCATCGACGGGGAGTGCGTAGCTCCATGCTGTCACCTCTCATTGCTGCTGCCTTGGAGAAATGATTCAGATCTTCCGAGGGAACAAAATGTTATCGCGACCGGATTTGAGCCCAAGATCTCTGCCAGGCCCTTTGGATAGAGATGACAACCACGCATTTTTGTTTGAAAAGGGGGATGAGTCTGCTGAGAGGTGGTCAGGGTGTTTCTGGCTTGCGCAAGTGTAGCACCTGTGCTGAGCGATCAGGTGGACCAGTTCACTCCAAGTCAGCACAGCCAGAGCCATGCACCAGTGGTGAGAAATGTGACCCCTTCTTTCCCCAGCTACCTGCTCAGGGAGGTGAATCACTGGTGCTCTCTTCTGCCAGCACCTCCCTGTTCAAAAACACAGATCAAAACGTCTTCTTTGTGAAGGGTTTCCTGAATTTCAGAGGAAAACAGCTCTGTCAATGTTAATAAATGTTTGGGAATTTTTGCAGGGAATACTACAGACTGTTACTCTGAAGTTAGGATGAAACTACAGCTGTATTTCTATACGCAGGCCTTGTTAGTTAGTGGTCAGCTTCCTCGCGTGCCTTGTTCCTCTAGCAACCCTTTGGCAGGTTTAACATACATTTATGCCCAAAGCAATCCTATATGTCTGAAGGACTGTGGAGTTTAGAGTGTCCCAAAGACTGGGTATGCCCTACCTCTGGAAACATCAGAGTATAAAACAATGCAAAAATACCATCCTGGGGAGCACCACAGCCATGAAACAAGTGAACTTTGTTAGTTCTTGCTTTGAAGATAGGTGGGGGCTGCAGAGGAAGGGAAAGATGCCACAGTTAGATGACATGGGGTGAAAACTGGAAGACTAGGAGGTGCCGGGGTTTAACAAGATGCCAATGCCAGAAATTGCCCCAATCAATCCTAATTTGTTCTGGCTGCACCTCAGAAAATTATGAAATTGGTGAAAAACAAGGTAGTGGTATTAAGTCTCTCTGGGATTTGAACAGCTGCATATGGATGGAGATGCTACACATATTCTGAAACCTAGATTTGCTGTTCAGTGGGAAATTCTGAAACTTCATAAATAAGCAAGAAAGCCCAAGCAAAATTGTTCTACATCAAAACAAACCCTCCAAGTATTGAACATGCTAGCAAAAAAGGAATTCAAAGGCTTTGATTTTTCAAGATGAAGTTGAAGTTTGCTCACCAGCTCTGCTTCTCACCTCTCTGCTCTGAAACAGGACTTCTAGAAGACCTCAGAGGCATGAAGCAGAGCTTCCAGATTCTGGGCAGGCATCATGACATGTAGGAACCCTGGCCATGGGTTTATCAGACAGACATGTGGAGTGGACAGAAAGTAAACATTAACCCTGGCAAGCTGCTTGGTTTCTGTTAAAAGACTTGTGAAATTCAAACACTCTGTATCCTGACCAAGAAAGATTGTCACGTTATGATCATCCCAGAACCTCCTCTGTGCTACACAAATATTCCCCCCGGATAAGCTGTCCCAATGCAGGTGATGGCTTGCAGCCCTGGTCTGCTTGTACAAAGAGTGATGCTCCCTTAGCTTTAGATGATTACAGTGCCAGTGTCTATATTCAAGATAATCATTGCATAGAGACAATTCATACCCTGGAAACTGCACTAATGCACCGACTACACCTGACCTAGAAACCTTAGTGTGATCACTTGTTCTTCTTCAAAGTGAGCCAGTGGTGCTTAATTCAGGTGTGTGTGGCTGCAGTGCAGTCACCTAAGGTTGCATGAGGTGAACACCATAGTTAATTCCTGTTGATTTTAATCAGTTAGGTCCATAAACCCCTTTGTTGAAGCTGAAGTTTAGTCCTGTATCCGGATTATCCTTCAGATGACAGATAAGATGCCAGGGATGAAAAGGATGTAAAGGTCCAAGCAGGTGTGGAAAAAAGGTCTTGTGTAAGACCTGTAGGAGGCAGGACGCTATATCTGACTTCTGCTGAATAGTTGTGGCCTAGAGAAATGAAACCCATATAAGGTAGGATTTATCTTTTTCCCTGCAACAATTAGCTACTCCCTAGCTTACAGGTCTCCCAAAACTGAAGTACACAGAATGCTGGTACCAGCCAGACAACAAGAAAGCTATTGACTCACTGTGATCCACTATGTAACTAACAATTAGCGGTTAGAAGGCAGCTGAAGACCTGGCAGCTGCAGTCTGGCCAGAGGAATTTCTTGAGGGAGCAACCTATGCGGAGTCATTAACCTACCTGCACTCCCGTGTGCACAGGACAGCATCCCCACCAAGCCTTTGGGTCACGATTTGCTTTGCTTTCAGATTCTGTCATGAATGGTTACCCTTACAAGTGCTGTGTCTGGGAGGGGGACCCCATTTTAATGGCTTTGCTCAGTAGTTTCCCCTGTCAGTGTGCAGTATGTGCTGTGGCTGCAAGGCAGAAGATGGTGCAATCCTTTAAACAGTGCTTCCCAACAGTGCTTCTTGTGAAAGTCAGTGGAGATATTAGTGGAAGCAGGATTGGATCCTGAATAAGCTGGGGAAAAAACGCACCATATGTTGAATGGAGATGATTATGTAAATAATAAGGCATACAGACACTGTGTAAGTGGGCAGGCCGATCTCATTATTGATCTACAATTAAACCAAACTGTGGGGTCATACCATCCTATTATGTCTGGCAGATTAAACTCAGTTAAGCTGTCTCCTTTTGTTATTGTTTCTCATGGAGTTTTTGAGCTTTCTTAATTCAGGTCAAAAAATTAGAGGCTTCCTCATAAGCATTTTAATTAACCAGCTGAAGAATTCTCTTGCCCCCAGAGACTCACAGTACAAAATCCAGAGCTCAGCACTGCTACCCCTCTCAGACTACCATATTTCAGCTCAAATTGTGTTTGTGTCCCTTTCACAGAATCACAGAATCACAGAATGGCAGGGGTTGGAAGGGGCCTCTAAAGATCATCTAGTCCGACCCCCCTGCTAAAGCAGGTTCACCCAGAGCAGGCTGCACCGGATCGTGTCCAGGCATGTTTTGAATCTCTCCAGAGAAGGAGACTCCACAACCTCTCTGGGCAGCCTCTTCCAGCGCTCTGTCACCCTCAAAGTAAAGAACTTTTTCCTCATGTTGAGACAGAATTTCCTGTGTTCCAGTTTGTGCCCGTTGCCCCTTGTCCTGTTGCTGGGCACCACTGAAAAGAGTCTGGCCCCATCCTCTTGACACCCACCCTTTAGATATTTATAAGCATTGATAAGATCCCCTCTCAGCCTTCTGTTCTCCAGGCTAAACAGACCCAGCTCTCTCAGTCTTCCCTCATAAGACAAATGCTCCAGTCACCTGATCATCTTCATAGCCCTCACCTGCAGGTCCCTGTCTTTCTTGAAGTGGGGAGTCCAGAACTGGACACAGTAGTCCAGATGTGGCCTCACGAGGGCACAATAGAGGGAGAGGATAACCTCCCTCAACCTGCTGGCCACTCTCTTTTTAATGCACCCCAGGATACCATTGGTCTTCTTGGCCACAAGGACATATTGCTGGCTTATGGTCAACTTGTCCCCCAGGACTCTCAGGTCCTTCTCCACAGAGCTGCTTTCCAGCAGGTCAACCCCTAACCTGTACTGGTTTATGGGTTGATTCCTCCCTAGGTGCAGGACCCTACACTTGCCTGTGTTGAACTTTACTAGGCTCCTTTCTGCTCAACTCTAGCCTGTCCAGGTCTCGTTGAATGGCAGCACAACCCTCTAGTGTTTCAGCCACTCCTCCCAGTTTTGTTTCATCAGCATCATCATTTATTCAAGTCAAAACCACAGACAGCAAATTGAACCCACCTCCCTCCCTCATTGACTACTTGGAAAAAAAAAAGTACCTTGAAAGTTTGATTTTTGACCTAAACATGTTCTTTGCACCCATCAGCACATGAGGACCAGAACGTATGAGGAAACCTGTTCAGGAAAGCCCATATGGTTGGACCTTGGGACTATGCACACCTCATCGCAGGCATTTTGCCTACTCCAAGCCACTAACGCAATAGGTCCATCCCGCATTGTCTCAGGCATGAGTAAAACCCCAGTCCTTTTGGAGGGCCTCTCGGTGGCCTCCCATAGAGGCTCTTGGTTGAGTGGTTGGGTTTCTACAGACTATGCTGTTCCTCAGGCAGATGGTGAGCTCCTTCCCAGTCCATGGTGGCTCTCGCCCATGTTCACTAGGCTGCGGTACTCCTGTGGAGTGGTGGTACTCCTGCAGCAAGCTGACCTTGCACCACAGGCTACCCATTGTCCTGGCAGGCTTGTTTGAGGAGAGTAACTGCACACCCCCAAAATAGTCATGGGTGAGAAAACCATGCCCCAAAGTCCCCCACTCCCACATATCCTCCTCTATGTGGAGCTGGCACAGATACTGCTCCTTTCGAACTTGTGGGATAGCGGTGTGCCATAAGGGGGGAGGACGTTGAAGAGCAAGTATGGTTTTGGGAAGGGCAGCAGCTCCAAGCGGTGAGGGACGAAGGAGAGCGTGCTGGGCAGCCAGGCAGTTGTCAGCTGCCCTTGCAGCGGTGAGTAGTATCCCACGGCAGGGATGGTAGAAGTGAGCTTTCTTGGCATCAAGCTAGGAGCCTTTCAAGAATAAAAATGAAGTCTCAGGTGAATCAATACAGACTTTTAGTTAGATACAATTTACGATCAACTTTATTTGTTTCCCTGGTGCTCAGTAATTAAGAAGGAAAGTTTAGAATGGACTCCCTAAAACCTGGTGATGTGCTGTCACCCAGGGAGCAATGTGAAATATCCTTTGTTTTAGCCATGGAAAAACTCCTGACAGGGAAGAGCCTGTGTGCCAGCCTAGATAATATTAACTGTCCTAGACTTAGCAAGGACATGGATCAAGGGCAAAAAGCTCTGGCCAGCTTAACAAGGCTGGACATTGTAAAGAGATGCTGACTGTCTATAAAGAAGCAGGGCTTTATGGCTGCAAATATCATATTTCTTCCTGTTCAGGAAATTTCTGGTGGTAAAGGTATTTTGATCCAAAGCATGATTTACGGTAAAATGGGGAAGGATCATCCTGCAAGAGACATCCTCGTGTCATATGCACAAAACAGGTTTCATTTAATGACAAATGGCGTAATACTTATTCCTAAAAAATGCATTATTTGACCATATTTGCTGGGATTTATATTCATCGTATTGCCAATTTTGCCTTTTCCAGTCCTCCTTCCCTGACATAGTCCCATGTGAAGAGGTGAAGGATAGCTACCTCTCCCTCAACGGCTTTATACATAGCTTCCAATACTCACTGTGATATCTGACTTGGGAGCTGGAATGAAGTCAACTTCTGTCAGATGCAGAAGGCCACCAAAGTTGCCAAATTTTTCATGTTTCCTCCACTTTGCTCTCTGGTTCTGGAACCAGATCTGGATACAGGCAAGAAAGAAAAGGCACAGGAGATGAAGCAGGAACTGTTCACATCCAACTACTTTTACTACTCTCTAAGTGAGTGCCAGAAAACATTGACCTCCAGCTCAGCAGAACCAGAGGTTGAACCTAAAGGAAAACATTGGGTTCAACACAGCATCTTTCACACTTTGCATAGCATGTGGGATCTCTACATTATCATGACAATGTCTTTTCTCTCATAGCTCACAGAAAAACTAGGATCTCCCTGTTCGAGGAAAGACAGTGGGATGGGGTGCAGCAGGTCTTCCAGGGCTCTCCTGGGAAAGCAGACCCTTTCATGGTCAAAGCTTTGCAGCAGTGAGGGCACACAGCATTCTGCTTTCCCTAGGAGGTGCGATTTGTTGCATGACAGAGCTCTTTCACCCTGTTGCCAAGTCAATAGACTGGGAAAAGACCCACCTAGATGCTTTGCTGGGCTGCAATAAAAATGTGTCACCAGTGGAAATGTAGTAACAGGGTTCTTCCCATATTTAGCGGGTAACATTTTGAAATTCATGTAAGGGACCTACGCAAAAGATGCCACCTTCTAAATCACTCAGCAGTCTGAGTATGTTATCTGCAATCTCTCTTGCACTGGAAAACAGACAACTAATTTTCTCAAGGGAGTTTCTTTCATCTGTCAGCTGATTTGACCTGTCTGGCTTCTGGCTGAGGCACACAAGTATTTATTGTGCAGCCACAGTAGTGCGTTTTGCTGCATTGTTGTGAAAAGTTGAATCCCCCTTTCATTATAGTTTCTAGCTGGCTTAGAAACTTACTGTTTGAATGTAAACATTTCTTTCTAGGCAAGTGATTCACATGAACACAAGGTGCTAGTGATCAAAACCAGGTGCTGCTGCATGTAAATATGTATGTATTTTAAACCCAATAATGAGCAGCTCAATTATTTCTGCATCTCTTGCCCAGGAAGTAATGGGAATGTCAGGAGCCCTCTATTATATTGCTGATAGTTAGCAGTATCTGAGGTTACTGAAAGGACAGTCCTGTTTATCTGGCTTTGCATGTGTTTGAGAACTGCTTAGTCTGTATGAACGGCTACATTCCCTTTCTACCATGCAGGAGTTATATGGTGAAAGAGCACCATAAAAATGACCTCTCTTTAACACCAATAAAGTGATTGACGGCCGAGGGGGGGACTGAAGCCAAAATTCAACCTCTGAAGTGCTTCTTCCAAAGTCTGCACATGGGATAAAGTCCTCATTTCCAGAATATTTTTTTTTTTTTAAAGCTGCGTTCACAGACCGAACTGCTCTTTTTTTTCCCAACCAGCTCTCTAACACCCTTACCCCTAAAATGATTTCTCAGACTGCTCTTTTTTTTCCCAACCAGCTCTTACCCCTAAAATGATTTCTCAATGCCCACCCTGAATTTCTTTTACTGGGATTTAAACCTATTCCTCCATGCTCTGTCTATCACAGTCATCAAGCTACATGTATCATTTATTCTCTGCATGCTACTAACCTCCATTTTCCCAGTGTTCCTGAGGTATGGCACTGAGACAGAGCAAAGTATTCCCATGTGTGTTCACGAAAGCCACACCAGTGCTAAAGCCAGGGACAAGTGCTGCCTTAATCCTGCCTGAGATTTCACAAGAGACTCATTTGCCTTCTCAGTGGTCAGCAGGTTGTCTGAGGAAACAAGGACTAAAACAGAGTGCAGAGGGAGGATGGCGTGCCCCATGTTGTAGGAATGGCCTCCATTTGTTACTCTGTAAGAATGTCCCTTTGTTGTTTTTTTGCAGACACATGACCAATGACCCAGAGCCTGCTGTACTAAAGAATCAGCCTTTTCGTTATTTTCCAGTCCCCTACTCTTCTTACCGTTTCATAGCACTATCATTAAAGATTTTACTGATTATGTAGTTCAAATTCACCTCTGTGTCAGTAAATGGTTCCTATGAGAGACCACCTTCGAAATGTCCTCATTTGCAGTTGGACACCTGTTGCAGACGTAGCTTTTTGTCTACTAGGACATGCCATCTTGATCTGCTCTGTTTTCTTAATCCAAGCAGGATGCAGGTCCAAGGCACGGTCCTTACAGTGACATGCCATCAATGTTACTACTTTTATCAGCCAAATACATAGAACCATAGAACCATAGAATCGTGGTTTGTGTTGGAAGAGACCTTTAATGTTCATCTAGTCCAACACCCCTGCCATGGGCAGGGACATTCCACTAGATCAGGTTGCTCAAAGCTCTGTCCAGCAATCTGTTCAAGTGTCCTGCCACCCTCGTTGTAAATAATTTCTTCTTTATAACCAATCTAAATCTATCCTCTTTCAGTTTAAAACTGTCACCAATAATCTCATCATAAAAAGATGAGTTTGACAACATCTATTTTCCTTAAACCAGTGTTGATAAGCATTAAATATATTACCCTTTCTTTAATTCTTCATTAACAGAGACTCATATCAGCTTTATGACTGTTTTGCCCAAAATCGATGTTTGGCTGACAGGCCAGTCATTATCTGGTCATCCTGTTTACCCTTTAAATACTGACACAATATTAACTTTCTTCAAGGCCCTTGGAACTTCTCTTATGCTCCAGGACTGATTAAATATCAACACTGATAACCCAAAGTGCTTCTCAAGCAGCTTTTTAAGAACTACTGGAGGTAAGTCACCTAGATGTCTGCATTTAAACATATCTGTCTGTAGCAGCTGCTGTTCAACATTGTCGTTATGGAAAGTGTTTCATCATCATCATCATGTGATACTACCACCTTACCTGACATATTTCCAAGGATAGAGCAGAAATTATGACTGAACATCTCTGCCATTTCTGCATTATCCTTGACAGTCCCACTGTTTCTATAAAGTAACAGATCAATATAATTGTTCACTTTTTTGGTTCATTCTTAATGGACTTTTATTGAGTTTCTGATGACCCTTAATTTTTCTCACCAAAGCTTTGGCTTGTATCCTTCTGCTTTACTTATTCTTTTTTCATAATTTATTGTTACTAGTGTTTACTCATCCTGCATTCTTCATTTGGTATTGCATGTAGGCATGCACACCTGCAGGGATATAATTCCATCTATCCACTTAAACTGTTTCACAGGAATCATAGCTTTGTTTCTTGATTGGAGGACACAAGGTTTTTGCACAGTTATGAAATGTTTCACTTGGTTACCCAAGGGTTGCTCACTTTTTTTTCCCTGGTTAAATTATCTCTGAGGTCATTTGACTTGTACTACTAAAACGCTTTGTCAAAACTATTATTTCAATGTACCAAGAGCATATACAAATTCTCTGCACTCTATTTTGTTTGCATTTGACAAATGCAATCAATCAAAATTATAGCAACTTGTAACTTGTACCATAGTTACTTCTAATTTTTAGTTCTGTCGCCAGTTTCCCTTTATCAGCCAAGATGAGATGAAATGCAGAATTTCCTGTGTCATGTGTAACACTTTGAATTGGGAGTTTGCCATCTGCAATTCATACACAAGGGGCTTTTCACTTCCTTCGTGTACATCTCAGGCTGATGTTTCCCATGATAAATCTCCCCCCCGCCCCGATTATAAATGATTTTTTAAACAGAAGATTGTCCTGTACTTTCATGTGATTTGCTGTTCTGTTGGGAACACTGACTAGTAGCCCAGTTTGTGCTTTATACCATTGAGAATGCATTGTGGGTGCACTGATATCGCTAATGGGCATATTACGGCTATGCTGTTCCAATTTTCCCTGTCACCTAACTGTGAAGCAATATCATCATGGTTAGTCGATAGTCCCAGGCATGTCATAGTCAATAAACTGCTCTGTGTTGAACTTTGATTGTTAAAGTGGGATATGTGCATAGAAGTACACCGATCACTGTAGTGTTATGACAAGGACAGAAACTGCCTTGTGCAAAAATCATCACAACAGTGCCGGGTAAACAACACCAAATTCCAATACACAGTGGTATATGTATGTTAATATAGCAGATTTCATATGCAGTAAACATTTGGGATCAATTTTGAGCTCAGTCAGCAAGACTACATTACAGCTGAGGGGAACTGGATTAGTTTCCATGCACTGAAATTACAGCCAGGGCATTTATAGTCTGTGATATCAAAATACAGAACAGTAAGAAAGTATTTTCATTTGGGCAGTTATTTTCATGTTTTTTGAGACCCTGTAGAAGATGGATGTGGATGACAGTTTGTACTGGATGTACATTAGTATATAAAAGGTTGAGAAATGATTAATAAATATTGTCATAAATGGCCGCTCTGTCACTACAGTGTCCAACAGGTTGCTCATAACCATCTGTAAGTCCCATTTGCTAGGCATTTAGTATGCTTAGAGCTCCTATTATCCCTTTGATTAATCCCATTTGGTTAGTCCCAGCTGGGCGACAAATACTTTTTTCCCTATTTGTAAAAAGAGAACAGTGATACTGGCCTCCTCTGTAAGGCACCAGAGAGGTCACGTATTTCATTAGTGTTGTCACCCAGGCATAAACTATTAAGAACGTACTCTGAATAAAGAATCGGTGCAGTGATCATAGCCTTTTGGAGACACAATGTACCTGAACTCTGGCTTCTGGGAGGTTTATCTTTGCTGCCAGTTGATTGCGAATATGGACATCCGGGTAGTGAGTCACTTGGAAAATCTTCTCCAGTTCCTGGAGCTGCTCAGCCGTGAATGTTGTCCGGATTCTCCGTTTCCCTTTCCTTTCGACTGCAAGAAAAAGGAAAGGTGCGTTGCATTTTATAGGAAAAGGCCACAGGGCCACAAGAAGATTGAGAGATCCATCAATTTCTATAAATTGCTATGCAGCTGGGATGGCCCCCCAACACCTTCTAGGGAACTACTTACCATAGGTGACTGTGTCCTGACTCAGCAGCAAATGTGAATGAACTCCTTTACCATTCAAGGACTGAGTCAAAAGTGCCCATTTAAAGTGCTAATTCCATTGATGCACTGCATGTCAAGAGATACAAAACCCTATGTATTTTAAACGCACTAGCCCTGCAATGGGTTTGTCATCAAAGTCCATTAGCGTTGGACCAACCTTTGACCCCTTTTTGCTCCTGTCTGTCACATGCACACATGGGTTGCTAATTTATAATCGCTTATTAACTATTTGTGAAGAAACCCTTAATGTAAACGGAATGAAAGAGTAAACATTCCATTTTGTCTTGGTGCTGTTCTCATGCCTGTAATGAATCACCATCTTTCTTTCAGCTCATAAATTTTCCATCCCTATCTTTTCCTGTCATACTGGTGTTCCTAAGCTTTCCTTAAGCTCTGAGGTATTATCTTATTCCATTGTCACTCTATCGATTTTGATGAATTTACACCTGCTGTATGCCTGCAAGATCAAAGAGCACCCAAAATGCGTGAACGTTGTGGAGGGAAGTCAACCATTCCAGACGGACTGACCGCCACTCTCTTCCCATACCATTTGTTCGGCAGTATTTAGGGATAGCCAGCAGTTTCACTGCAGTATGACAGCGGCATTAAAAAAGTTCCCATACAAAGAAAAGTAATGGTATTCTGACTGCATCGTTGTGGTGTGGGGACTTTCTAAACAAGCTTAGCCTTAAGAACTACAAGGCTGCAAAACCCATGGGGCAGTTTATGGGGAACTTTGGGTGCTGTGAATTCCAGGGGACTCTTAGACTGCTCCATTCATTCAGCTACTGTGGTGTGACCACATTAAGATAAGCTTGGTGTAAGTTAGAATAAGGTCTAGGTTGCTCTGAAATGATGCTGACGGGCTGATGTCTTGCAAGGAGATGGAGAAAGGAGCAGCAGAAGTGAGGTCTAAGGTGGCCGATCTGCAGAACATGGAGTTCAGCCTTGTCCCAAAGCTGGAATTCTCTCTCATGCACAAATGGAGTATCTTCTAGCTGACATTGAATGACCAGTGCAAAAGCCATGGCCAAAGCATTGTGAGTCAGGAATTTTTTTACTGAGCTTGGAAAACTGCGGCCTGATAGGAGCATAAAAATTCTCATATTGCTAGTGACTGTGATGAGCTTGCTACTCAGTGACCTAAAGTAATTGGCAATGACACCATGTTGCTTGAGAAAATGATCTTTTTGAATAACTGCTTTTGGTCTTCCATGGTCTGATGGCAACTACCAATTCATTCTATATAAGTAAATGTGTACACTTCCTAATGTGAACAGTTAACCTAAGAAGATCAGTTTAGTCCCTCAAAGAGGCTTGGTACTTTTTCCTCCCTTTTGTTCAACCATTAACATAGCCTTTTCCTTTTGGGGGCTAAAGCAGCGAAAAAGGTAACTAAACACCTTGACCAATATAAATTTGGCTCAGTGCCAACCAGAACATGACATTTTTCATTCTGTAATCAAAACTTCATTGTGACTCTGTTGACACAGAAAATAAGGAATAAAAAATTCTGTCCACTGACTGTATAGGAAGGTGCTTAGGACATGGTATCTAGGGACTAGTAAATGAATATATTCCCTTGTGGATATTTCATCTTTTCTAAACCTTTCAGGTAGTTTGAAAGGAAACTAGTCATGCAAGAATAACTGAGGAGTGTCATTTATCATAAACACTGTCAATACTCCCATATCTCAGAAACAGCCTAATAAAGCTGATGTCCAACATAGTTAAATCTGTATCATTAGACTTTTCACTGGCCTATCAAAGTACTACTCATTAGACTGCAGTGCTGGCTTCAGCCCCAAGGGAAAAATGTTATTTACGTTGAATCTTGATGGCACTACTAGGGCAGAGATCTGAAATGAGAAATATTTTCATATGTTTGTGCTGGATAGCAATGGGCACTCTCTCCTAAGAAGCCCCGTTTACAAAGTTGCATTTACTTGAATCTTCCCAAAAGATGGTTGTAAGGGGGATTTATTGCTATACGGATTAAAAGGGAAATATCAGTGCTGACAATATGAATCTCAGGACACTATGTCCCCTGTAGATACGGTAGAGCTAAAAGTTCATAATGGTGTCTTCTCTGGAAGATTTTCACCTCACATCTCTTTGTGGGGGGCTGGCCTCAATATCCTCCTGGGAGATATTGCAGACAGGTAAGATTGAGTACAATGGTAGTACTTTGTCAAGCACATCATGATCTGTCATACAGTAATGAATCTTCCTGCTATATTTGTATCATTACAACGTATGGTATTTGTATTTCTCTAGCACAGGGCAATTATATAGCAGATTCCAACGAGTGAAGTTTGCCCTGACCTTGTCACGGTCTCAGAAATTTGAGGCCTCCTTGAGATGTCCTGTATGTCTCCCTGAACACTGAGCTGAGCTCCTGCCTCCATCCATCCAGTGTAGAAGACTGGCTCCACAAACGTGGGAGAAGCTGCAGTTGACCTCCAGCATTTCCTGAGTGGAGCAAGAGATCCAAGCTCAAACTGTGACTGCATCCTTGTTCCTGTGGTCCCAACTGTACATAAACATCTGGGATGCTGGCAGGGTTCTTGTCCTGCCATGTTTTGTATGCCCAGGCACTCCATGTACCTTCTAGCAATCAGAAAGCCTTCAGGAGAAAGAGAACAAACCTGCCTATCTCCTGGAAGATTTCTGAATTAGCAAGAAAAGACCATTTTTATTTTTTTTTAATGTATTAGATTAATGAACTGAAATATAATTTCATGACTATGCAAAGCAAGAAAGAAACTGTCTACATTTTAAATCTCAGATACCACATCAGATAAAAAAAAAAAGGCATATTTTACTATTCTACCATAACGCAGCAAATAATGATTTAGCCCAGTATAAACCCTTCTGTCTCATTCATTAACTAGACTGTATAGAAATGGGATGACTGAAGTGGACCATGATAGGATTGAAGTGATGCCAAAGACCAGCTGGATCAGACATCATCACAATGGTCACCATACAAACAGCAATCGTTAGTTCTTGCCTGTAAGCACACATGATGACAGCCATCACCTCCTATTTGTAATGTGGAATAAAAGCTAAGGCCAAGACTTTTAGTGCCCAAACCAGAGAATACTACGGGAGTTAGAAAGAAATGGTGTACGTTATTCAGCCATGTTAGCTGCAGCACTTCTCCATAGACAGTACATTCATACACACCAGGAAGAGAGACAACAATGTGGATATCTATCCTTGGCTACCACCTTAACTAGTTGTGGCTGCTGGAAGGACACTTGGTGCAGAGTCCATTGGATTAGTCAGCCTATAGATAGACTCAAGAAATCAGCTGTTACAAGCCATGAAATACCATCTCTACAGGGCCAAGGTGTGGAACAAACTCAGTAAAGATCATGAGTATAGAAGGAGCTGTAAAGTCTATTCTACAAAGAATTTATGAGAATGAGAAGACAAAGGCTGTGCACAGCTGGTGTAAGTTTGGGAAGAAACTTTTAGTTGAGCTGGGATATCTTATGGTACCTGAGAACTGGATCCATTACCTTGAACCACACAGTATGAGATGGGATGGGGAATGGATCTGCCTGATAATCTCTTACTGTACTCTGTCCCACTGACAGCTAAGAAGTGTCCAGGATTAGAGAGCATGGCTTCAGAGGGAATAGGCTTGTGAGTTTCTGATGTCTCCTATCAACTTCTTTGGTACAAAAATGACCCAGATAACTTGGTGAAGGGAAAAAGAAACTCCCTATCAGTTCACTCTTACATCCTCCACATTTTCCCTTCTTGAAAGGTGAACTGTTTTACAGATGAAACTCTTATGTAAGGGAAGGACCTACACGGTGCTCAGAAGTGTCAATCCTACTGAAACCAGGTTTTTCGAAGCTGAAACTCATCAGATTAAACAAAATACAATAACATGAGGTCAGCTATGGGCCAGTAGAGACTGAAGGACAGGCTTTGATTTCAACTGGAAATGAAATTAAATTGCTAACAAAATAGACTCCTGTGAACTAATCAAGGCTTTTGCCGGTAGGAAATCTAGAGGAGTGCTTTTTTTTTTTTTTTCTGTAAGTAATCAGTCATTCTTTTTTTTTTTTTTTTTTAGAACTATGACAAAATACAAAATATCTAGGACTGTATGTTAACATTTTCTCTTGCAAGATGAAACTTTCTCTGACTGTAGCTTTGATACTTCCCTTTGCCTTGGGACCTTAGCTTAGAGATCCCATAGCAAACAACAGCATTCAGAATTACAGTCTAATAAAGAATGTGGGTGGAAGATATAAGACTAGAAAGTGTTGGAAGTGTAACATTGGCTTTACAAACGTGGCTCTAGAGTCTCTGGGGAAATAAGACTCTGTCTGAGTTTCTTGAGCTATTTTCTATGTAAAAGATGGGGATATTCAAGTGTGCTTTTATGCTCTGTGAAAGTCATTTGCAGGTTAGCTAACTGCTGAAACCAAGCCTGAAAATACCAGGCAGCTAAATATGTCAGCTTTTGCAGATGCTTAGAGATACAGCTGTCTATACATTGCCTTGCTGTTGACATTGGAAGGGCCAGATTCTCCATGCTGATAAAGCAGTACAGCCCCTTTAAATTCAGTAACAGGCTCCATTTGTCCTCTGCAGTTGTGGCTTTATTACTAGGTCAGACTCGCAGCAAGTTGAAACACTTGAACTTTGTAGAAATACAGACTCTTCTTGGAGGTGCGCAGTGAAAGGATGAGATCAATGGGTACAAGTTGCAGCAAGGAAAATTCTGATTACATAATAGGAAAAAATGTTTTCACCATGAAGGCAGTGGGCCTGTAGAGGCTGAGAAGTCTCCATCCTTG